TTCGAAAAAAAAAAAAAAAAAAGTGAGGCTGGGACTTTATTCTATTAATGTGTTGTTGCCTTTACAATACAGATAAAATTAATTAAAATTTTGTAAATACTTCAGCAATTCGACAACCAAAAACAGATGAAAATAAATTTGTGACAAACAACGTTTTATAATTATAATGGTATAACTCTAACCCAAAATGAAAACAAGTGATTATTATCAGTAGTAGTAAAATATTATTAATTGATGTTTTTTTTGTAGTCTAATGATCACAAAATAGTTAAAACATTTACTGTATTGGTCCATCTCTAGTGTACATGCATAATATAGCATAATAAAGTTAAAATTACTGAGCAAGAAAATAAAATAGCAAGTTACCTTTAGTGTGATAAATTACAGCAGCTTTTAGATCAAACGACCCCCAACTAGACCTCCTGTCAAAGCCCTTAGTATGGCCCTGGTCCTGGGCCGAAGCCACCTTAGGGGCAGCTGGCGAGGTGGGAGGCAGCTCGGCACAAATGTCCTTATAGGAAGAACAAAACACTATTGCACCATGAATCCCCGTCTCATCTCTCTGGGCATCCAGGCTGAGTACAGAGGTCTCGGGTATGGCCCCGCTTGCCGCTGTGGCACCACCACTCACTCCTCGACTCAAATTCTGAGCATTAGTCCGTTTTTCTGGCTCGTGAGCCTTGGGAAAGGGTGGTTGATCCGGACTCTGAGAGGTACTGGAAGTCTGAGTGGCCACTGTAGCAGGACAGCCTCCCTGAAAGCTGACCTCCACTGGCACCTCCTTTCCGTTGGAGCGGCACGCCATGCCCTCTGGTCCGGCGCTAGGGTCATTGATAAAGGACAAGCCCCACTGATTCTGAAAAATGTCCCCCAGAGACTTCTGATTTGTCGGAGCAGCAGGGGGATCGGCTTGGCGGCCGCTAGGGAGTGAGAGTTGCATATTGGAGGGGGTGATGGGGTAAACGAACAGACTGGGCTTCCTGGGCTCAGCCACAGAGGTTGTGGTGGAACTTCCAATGGCCGAAGTGCCGCTACCAGGGGGAGATGCTACAATCTCAGCGGCAACAGCTGGGGTCACCTGCAGAGGACTGGCACTGAAATGGGGGCCGGGCAGGGGACCGTTGGTAAAGCTAGCCGAGGTGATGGTTTTCACCGCAGACATGGGGACCTGTGGCGGTCTCCCAGGCACCTGGGGAGTGAGAGCCTCCCCGCTAGCTTGGGCAGTCTTATTGAGGTTCTCCTTCACTTTGCTTGCATAACTGATCTTAGGCACAATCTTAGCGCTACTATTGTCCACAGGAAAGACAGGCGGAGGCTTGAACAAGGTCCAGGAGTCCTCTTTGGTGGAGGTAGCCACCTTAACCTTGCTGGAGCGATCCTCAAACCGTTTGCCAGCCACTTTGCTGTCTGAGTTCTTGCGCTGAAGTTCAGCCACCGGCAGAGGAGGTGGGGTGGCGGAGGCAGTTGGTTCCTTGGCTTTTAGGTGCAGCTCGGCTTTTGAACCGGCACTGCCACTCTCCACCTGAGAGCCAGAGACTGAGTCCGGTGCCACAGGCCCTTGGTCTTGTTTGCCGCCCTGCTGCATGGCTTTTCCCTGGACAGAAGCAGTCACATTATCCGCGGCTTTGCCGTTCCTCTGGGCCCGGCGTTTCTTGGGAGTAGTGTATCCACTCTCGGAGCCACTGCCATCATTGTCAGCTCCGGTTTTGCTAGGGTAACCATTGGCAAGTGGTACAGAGTTGAGCGACACCACACCATTCAGAGTAGCCAAAGCCTCTTTTTTGCCCTCAAGTGTGTTCAACTCTGAGGACTTGTCATTTTTGAAGTCCATGCTGTTTCTGCTAGTGTTTCTACCTTTTCTGTCCCCTGTTGAGTCAGTGGTAAAGGCCCGTCGGGTGGGCTTCTGTTTCAAGTTGATGTCTAGCAGGTGTCTGTCGCCATTGCTGTTCGCAGGGTGCAGGGAGCTGTCTGGGTTAAAGGAAGTGGGAGTCACCTCTCCCGCCTTCAGAGTTCCATTTATTTTGCCATTTTCTGCACAGAGGAGAAACAAAACCAAATAAATAAATGGAATGCAAACCGCAAATCTGCATCAATTTATCCACTGAACCAACAATTTTTGGCAAACATCCAGATCAGATCTCAAGTTCCAGTAAGGGAACAGGTCAAGTCTAGTCAATGAGTACGTTTACATGGACAACAATATTCCGATTTTAACACGATTAAGACAATACTCTGATTAAGAATCTACCATGTAAACAGAGATTTTTGATTACCTTAATCCGTCTATAGTCATACTCGAAGTAAACACAAATTGAATTAAGACATGTGGAGTATTTCTATTTTAGTCACATTATTGAAGTGCAGTATAGACATGTAAACACCTTAATCGCATTATTATAGTCATGTAGGACTTTTCGCCGCATTTTGCGACAGGATACACACATGGCAGTTGTCAACCGTTTGACGGCAAATAAAAGAGCTTCAACACCGCCATCATCTGTATGCATGTACAACTAATTAACTGCACTTGAAGCTTTCATAAAATTAAAAATGAAACACCCAAAACTGTATATGGCATCATCACGAAGACGAACTATATGTTTATACGTGAAATTCTGGAGGGGACGTAATCGATCTATGTACTAGGGTTGTGACGGTAAGGAAATTTTCCCACCGGTTAATCGACGTGTGACAACACCGGTAATACCGGTATCACCGTGGGGGCGGGGGCGTTCCCTCTTTTCCTGCTTTCCTTCGCTTTTAAATAGCTTGTAAAAGCTGCGTGCACATTTTACTTTAACTTTCAAATAGCGGCAATTCGGCGTAAAGCAATTGTTCGTTTTTAGTTCGTTTGAATTTCCTCTCTTTTCCTCGCTTTTAAATAGCTTAAATGCGCCATGCACATTTTACTTTCACTTTCGAATTAGCTGCAGTTCGGCGTCAATTGCTTGAATGCAACAACTACTATAAAAAATCAAAACGACGGTGGGGGTCGGTGCTGCGGTGGGCAAGTGACATAACCGGTGTTGCAGCTTAACACCGTCAGCACCATCGATCGCGGCAAGCCTACTATGTACTACGACATGTAAATCAGGAACATGAAAGGAATATTCTAAAAGCAACTCATGTAAACACTTTAATCATAATATTGTCTTATTTAGAATAAGGTAAATAATTAGATTACTGATGTCCATGTAAACGTAGTCAA